ATCTGAAATAATATTTTCTAAAAAGAAAAGAATGCTTCACTTTTTAACAAAATCCTTAAAAAGTATAAGTGATTTTCTGCTGTCATAGCTCAAAAGCCTTCTAACTTCTTGCATCTGATACCAGGGGTTGCTTATGTTACCATATTTTCACTAAAGACATGGTTAAACATATATTTCTTTTATTAAATGTTGCTTTTGAATTAAATAGAAAAGGGATTGAACCTGATCACACACATAGGCTATGTCTAGACTACAGGGTTTTTTCTAAAAAACTTCACCTGCATCTAGACTTAAATCAAAAATTAAATCGAAAGAACACAATGGTTTTTTCGACAGTGGTAAACCTCATTTTACAAGGAAGAATGCATTTTTTCAAAAGAGCTCTTTCGAAAAAAGGTGTTCTTGACTGCAAACAGGGCTTTTTCAAAAGAGAGGACTCAGATTGCGTTGATGCTCTCTTTCAAAAAAGTTGATTGCTTTTTTGAAAAGTTGGGGCTAACCAGATGATCTCTTTTGAAAGAAGCTTTTTCGAAAGATTCTTTCGAAAAAGCTTCTTTCAAAAGAAGCGTGTTATCTAGATGTATGCATACATCCATACAGTCATATACAAACAAACCCTATCTTGCTGCTTTTGCTTAAAGTCACCAATCTGTTGCTCACATTCACTCACTGGCCAGGCAAATTAAATGTGAGAGGAAGGAGCGGGGGCTTCTCTTGGTCTGGACCAATGCTCTGATCTTGTTAAGATGAGACTTGGAGATTCATGCATGATGCCCTATCTTTTAGAGGACTTTTTGCCCATTCAAGTCTATACATTTTGCTGTGTCAGCTCTTAATCATTCACCATCCGTTTTGTTAACATCTGTTTACCGGGGAGTTATTCTTTACTCTGACATCAATATGTTGGTGGTTCCTCCCAGTGTTATTTCAAGGTTGTCTTGATTGTAAAGGGATGCTTGCTTTTAACACTCCAAGGCCATCCATAATGTCCTGCATAGGTCTGCTTTGTTTTGGGCCTCAATTTATGGCACCTTGATGCCTCTTCTCTAAACACTTACATTCCAAACTTATTCACTCCAATTCCCCAGGAACTACACAATCATTTCACACATGGGAAAAGGAATACAATTGTCCATACAAAAGGTATCAATGTATTTCAATACAAGGAATCATTCATCATATTTTCTTTATAACACAATCTATATTCCAATTATTTCTAAGAGCAACAGTGTGATCATGCTTAATCACAAGAATCCTTCTGAGCTTTCTCTCACGTAATGGAATATTACAGAGCTCAAAAAATTACAAAACTTAGATTCACATTATACTGAAACTTAGATTTATATTATATTGCATTGGGCAGAGGCTTTACACAACAGCTTATGGCTACCATTGGCTTGAGAAAGATGGAGAATGCATGGGAGAATTGCCTGCTGAAGATGGCAGAAGGGAAGATAGCCTTTTATTCCTATCTGAAGGTATCAGACAGGGAAATGGGGGACTGCAGGCCATTGGACTTCACTCTACGAAAGATAACTGAAGGTTAGTGGGCCAGCTATTGTGGGAAGTGAGGTTGTTTGGGAGGGATGAGTCCTCCACAGATGTATACTTCCTCTCATCTTAAAAGTACTGTGGTCTTTTCCTATAACGATTCTGTAACCTAACTAGGAGTGCTAACAAACATTTTTTTTAAGTCAAACCAACTCAGTCTAAGTCAATCTTCCAACCCCACTCAACACTTTCTTTCAAAACAATGTTCTACAACATGCTTATGACATTATGCATAAGAAAGATGGCCATTTATATCTCTCTTGTTTCTACGGTTACACAATTTCCATCATATGAGCTGCTAATGGAAAATTCATTATTTGCTAAGTATAATTATACCATTTATATGCATGAATTATCTTTTTATCTGAAGTTATGCATGTTGTCTATGATCTTAAACCTCTATTGTGACACCCTACAGAAAAATGTATAGCAAGATTAGACAGTTATGTGTTGATGGCTGATTCAGGACTCTCCTATCTCACAATGGGCCATCAAACAAACTCGTCCCGCCCAGATAGCTCTTCCTGAGGATGCTTCAGAGAGCAAGGAGTCAATGGCCAGTCTCTGTGAGTCTGCAAACCACGTAATATTCTCATTTGATCTTGAACTCCATCTTGGGTCAGTAACTTCCCACAAATAAGGGTGGTGTGGGCTTTGTTTGGGACTGAATTTCCATGCACATGGCGGAAAATATAAAGAGACACCAGAGACATTTCCATTTTGTCTTAATTTTCTTCATTTTTCTGGACTGGATTTCAAACAAGGAAGCTTTGAACAAGGTCCAATGTCCCCCAACCACTTTGGGTGATTCCAGAGAGACAGTTCATAGAATCATAGAATACTAGAATTGTAAGGGACCTCAAGAGATCATCAAGTCAAGTCCCCTGCCCACATGGCAGGACCATGCACTGTCTAGATCATTCATGATATATATCTATCCAACCTGCTCTTAAATATCACTCTTGATGCAATTTGCTTCTTGTCCTATCATCAAAGGCCAAGGAGAACAATTTTTCTCCATCTACCTTATAACACCCTTTTACATATTTGAAAACTCCTATATGTCCCATCTCAGTCTTCTCTTTTCTAAACTAAACAAGCACAGCTCTTTCAGTCTTCCCTCATAGGTCATGTTTTCTAAACCTTTAATCATTCTTTTTGCTCTTCTCTGGCCTGTCTCCAATTTCTCCACATCTTTCTTCAAATGTGGTGCCCAGAACTGGACAAAATGCTCCAACTGAGGCCTAATTAGTACAGAGTAGAGTAGAATTACTTCTCATGTCTTGCTCACAACACTCCTATTAATGCATCTCTGGCTATGTCTACACTACAAAGAAAAGTTAGAAAAAGATACACAAATTGAAAGCTGCAATTTGCATATCTTTTTCCGCCTTTCTTTCAAAAGAGGCTTTTCCAAAATTTGGTGTGTCTATATTGGTGCCAAATTTTGGAAAAACCTCCTCTTTTGACACATCCCTTCTTCCCGTAAAATGAGGTTTACGGGGATGCAAAAGAGCATGTCCGCTTTACCAAGTTTTTTTTTTCTGACACAGCATAGTTTTTCCCGGATACCGTATCCTAGAAAAGAGCTGCAGTCTAGACGTAGCCACAGAATCGTGTTTATTTATTTATTTATTTATTTGCAACAATGTCACACTGTAGACTCATGTTTAACGTGTGATCTGCTATAACCCCTAAACCACTTTCAGCAGTACTCCTACCTAGATAGTCGTTTCCCATTCTGTATGTTTGAAACTCATTGTTCCTTCCTAAGTGGAGTACTTTGCATTTGTCCTTATTAAACTTCATCCTGTTAACTCAGACCAATTTGTCCAGATCATTTTGAATTTTGACCCTATCCTCCAAAGCACTTGCAACACCTCCCAGCTTAGTATCATCTGCAAATTTAATAATCGTACTCTCTATGCCATCATCTAAATCATTGCTGAATATATTGAACAGAACTGGTTCCAAAACAGACCCCTGCAGAACCCCACTTGTTATATCCTTCCAGCAGGATTGTGAACCATTAATAACTACTCTCTGAGAATGGTTATCCACCCAGTTATGCACCCATCCTATAACAGCCTCATCTAGGTTGTATTTCCCTAGTTTATTGATAAGAAGGTCATGTGAGACGGTGTCAAATGCCTTACTAAAGTCTAAGATCCACAAGACTTGTTATCTTATGAAAGAAAGATATCGGATGGGTTTGTCATGATTTGTTCTTTACAAATCCATGCTGGCTGTTATCTACCATCTCACTATCTTTCAGATGTTTGCAGATTAATTCCTTAATTACTTGTTCCATTATCTTCCCTGGCACAGAATTTTAAACTGACTGCTCTGTAGTTTCTTGGGTTGTTCTTATTTTCCTTTTTGTAGATGGGCACTTCATTTTACCTTTTCCAGTCTTCTGGAATCTCTCCCAACTTCTTTGATTTTTTAAAGACAATTGCTAAAGGCTCAGATATCTCCTCTATCAGCTCCTTAAGTATTCTAGGATGAATTTCATCAGGCCCTGGTGACTTGCAGACATCTAACTTTTCAAAGTCATTTTTAACTTGTTCTTTTTTACAAATCTAAACCTACCCCATTTCCACTAGCAATCACTATGATAGAGGAAACACTGGTGACTAGATGCCTAAGGTGTGTGGCAGCACAGTTTCACAGGTGATTAATCAGCCCCACCCAGTCATTCAGCTCTGTGCAGGGAGCCCTGAGCCTCTGGCAGGGCGAGGCTGTTTAATCACCTATGAAGCTGGGCTGCTCTGCACCATCAAACTTCTTGGTGAAAACAGAAACAAAGAAGTTGTTAAGCACTTCTGCCATTTCCAAATTTCCTGTTATTGTTTCTCCCTCTTTACTGAGCAATGGGCCTTCCCTGTCCTTGGTCTTCCTCTTGCTTCTAGTATTTTGTAGAATGTCTTCTAGTTGCCCTTTATATCTCTAGATAGATTTACCTCGTTTTGTGCCTTTGCCTTTCTAATCTTGCCCCTGAATACCCGTATTGTTTGCTTACATTCATCCTCTGTAATTTGACCTCGTTTACACTTTTTATGATTCCTTTTTAATTTTTAGATCATGTAAGATCTCCTGGTTGATCCAAGGTGGTCTCCTGCCATACTTTCTGTCTTTCCTACA